GGAAGCAACTCCCAGGCTGGAATTCAACTCTTCTGTGTGGTCCATTTTTTCCAGGAAAACAACCAGCACTCTGGGGCAAAGCATTCTCAGGTTGACTGGCCTAGCTGCAGAGCCTCATGTGGAGTCTCTTTTGGTTGCCAGGTTCTGTCTCTGACTCTGCCCTCACTCCCCATCACCTGCCCTCACCTGTCCTCACCTCCTCTTGGAGGACAGGCTTCCCTGAGAGCTATAAAAGAGAGCAGAGCTGGGCTAACAACAGTGAGGGTTGCTACTTGAAACCCTCAGGAATATTCCTGGATGTTTTGAGCCTTCCAGAGCCGTAAGCATATGGACCTGGTATGCTGAAGCCTTTGAAGTTTACTTTTTATTTTAGGATATGAAAGAAGAGTGAGAATTAGGGGTAAAATATGGCCAGGAAATGAAGAAGCCTCTGCCCTTGTTCTTTTTGGAGAACATTCTAGAACTCTGCCTGTGGTCATTTGTGAGGTTTCTCTCAAATGGAATGATGTTGGAGAGGGTAAAAACCTTTCCTGTTCCACCCCCCAGATCATCGGCTATGAGCTCCAAGGAAGATTCATGATTCCCGCTACCACCCAAGAAGAACGCCATTACCAATGGTGATAAGACACCCCACCAAAAGTGAGTTCTACTTTTAAATGTATTATTTCTCAGGCGTATATTGTAAGTCTATCTGTTGAAATAGTCCATGGGACTGTTATCCATACCTGGTGATTAATAAAAATCATTTCTTTAATTGATAAACCGTGCTGCCCATCATAATAAAGTATGTTTGAGAGTAAATAAGGTGCCAGATGTGGCTCTCGACTTTCTAAAGCCCTCCTGACTTTTGGGAGAGGCTGTGATGGGAAAAAATGTGACTTTGGAGGTGAGAAAACCTGGACTCACATTCACTCTGCACCATTTGACTAGCAGGCTCAGCAGGGATACCAGGAACCTTTCTTAGCTTCTGCTTCCAGCACACTAGCTACACTTCCACAGTGCGGAGAGCAAGTGTGAGCATCAGTGTGGATAAGGCTGGAGCAGGTCTGGGCACAGGCTCCCTCAGGAGTGTGATGCTAACAGATACTGGCATTGGTCAAGCCCAGCGGATACTGGCATTGGTCAAGCCCAGCGGGTTGACTGTTTTCTACTCTGGAAGGAAGAAGAATGTAGTGGCGAGAATGGGGACCTGCTTTCTGGTGAAGACCTGCTCCATTCTGCCAATCCCCTTCCAGGTGATTCTGGAATACTGTATAACCTGCTCTCTCAACCCAGCTCCCATAGTTCATCAGGAATCTGAATGGAGTTACCAGGGATGAGTCTGGGAAGGGCAACTTGGAGTTGGGTTCAGAACAACAGAAGGACTCAAATGAAGCTGTTGAAGATGGGGGAGGATGACCTTGTCTAGCCTGAAGGTGGCCCAGCTTGGCCCCCTCAGGAGACACCCCTTCTAGCTCTTCTCCATCTGTAGACATCAATATTCACTCTCTTCTGGATGACTTTCCAAGATGAAAGGGCAATCCCTCATGAACTACATGCTGGATCCACTTCAAATTCCCCCTTCTTTTTTCTGAAGGGATTTCCACCAAGGCTTTCTCCATTTGTAATCATATGTTACCTTGGGGGCCTTCCAGCCCCAAGTGCCGTATAAGGTCAATGCTCTGGGTTTGCTTCATTGTCATGCTTTGGCTCTGCTTCCTCAGGATAGCTCCACCAGACCAGCACCCCAACAACACTTGGAAGCCAGTCTTCTGGAAGGGTGGTAGTGAGTGGTTGGTACCTCAGCTGTATTCCAAGAACTTACATCTTCCTTAGAGGGCTTGACAGAGCTATCTAAAGTTGGGCCTTCAGAGGTGGTGGGTTAGTCCCAAGACCAAGAGTTTTCTGCCAGATACTTGTCTGTCTGGAATCTGTATCCTCTCCACCCAGGAGGGAATCTGGGGTTTCCTCCCAAGCTTCTACTTCTGGAACTATGAGGCTAGGTCTAGTCCCAACTTGGAAGGCATTCAAGGAGAGCCCAAAGTTTAACATGGGCTTCCGAGTCAAAGGAAAACATCTCCATGCCCAACCCGAGTCTCCAACTCCTCTCATGCTGCTTTGTCTTGTAGAAAAGAATTATGAAAACATGACAGGATGAGTTAGTAGGGAACTGGGAGATTTGATTCTCAAGCTAACTCATTAAAAATGCAAATCCACGATGAATTTGCTAATTTCAGCAAACTGGAACCATATCTTTGCTGGTGGGTTTGTTGTGTGTCTCAGGACAGGGAAGCCTGTGGCCTGCACAGTTCTTGGCTTGGTAAGGTTCTCTGGATAGGGAAAGAACATGCTAACTGATGCTGGGGACAGTGCCTGCTGTGAGCAGTCACCTACCAAGGAGCCAAGAGGCTGGCACTGGAAACCTACTTTCCAAGTTGCCTTGTTGTTTGAGCCCCAGAAGCAAATTCAGGTTACCCTGAACCCCAAGTTTCAGGTTCAGGTAACAGATCAATAGAAATCAATGAGGAGAGTTGGGCAGAGTAGCTCACACACGCAAACCCACTGCGGAGGAGGCCGAGGCACGAAGATCACAGAGTTTGGGGCTGCCCTGAGCTACAAAGTTAGACCTTGTCTTTCAGAAAAAAAAAAAAAAGAAAGAAGAAAGAAAAAGAAAAAAAATCCACAAGAAGACATATTTTTTTCTAAACTAGAGATCTTCCCTTTGATTAATGGACTGTCGGTCTTTCCCTCATAGCTTTCTTTACCACCTCCCTAGCATGCACACCTTGTACACAGTTCTAAACCTAATAATAATATTTTACGGTTGTCTGGCCTGGTCCAGATTATGTAGATGTCTCATCTACTGTCTGATTTTTCACTAAGGCCCATTTCCTCATAAGTGAAGGTAATGGTTATTTCATTGTACCTACTACATCCAGCTGCCACAGTTACACCTGATTTTCCTTTCTGTAAGTCTTTGCATATCGATCCTTTAAATATGTTTTTCTTCTTGTAGATCTTCTTTTATAAAAATTATTGAGCCGGGCGGTGGTGGCGCACGCCTTTAATCCCAGCACTCGGGAGGCAGAGCCAGGCGGATCTCTGTGAGTTCGAGGCCAGCCTGGGCTACCAAGTGAGTTCCAGGAAAAAGGCGCAAAGCTACACAGAGAAACCCTGTCTTGAAAAACAAAAAAAACAAAAAAAAACAAAAAAAAAAATTATTGATTTTATGGTTTTACTTATCTGAATTTCATGACTTTTAAATTATGTTTTCTAACTTAAATTAAGTATTCATATATAGGTGTAAATATTCAGATTATAAATATACCCTACAGTAAAATTTTGAGTATTTTAAAATTTTCCAATTATATTTTTAACAATTAAATAATTTATTGTGTAAATTCAGTGATGCATTTTACATTATCTTTCTCTTTAAAACATAAAATAGTAGTAGTATCATGTCATCAAGATCTTTATTTAATGGTGAATTTTCTTTATATTTTTAAATTCCAATTAGTTCATTTTGCTTCCTTATACTGTAGCATGAATCTTAGAAGGTCTTATTAATAAAATCAAATCTGAGCCAGGTATTGGGGTGAACACTGAATGATCAGAGAAACAGAACAAGCCACAGGCACCTCACCTGGCCATCTTCTCAGCTGATCCTGTTTCCTCAGACTGGAAGCTCCTGAGTCCTCATCCAAATGGATCTCAGCTGAACTGCTGCTCAAAATCCTAAAAGCTTAACCAGCCTAGTTTCTGGTTTTCACTCCTTATGTACACCTTTCTCCTTTCTGCACTCAATTCCTGGGATTAAAGGCTCACTTCTTGGGATTAAAGGCATGAGTGACCATGCCTGGCTGTTTCCAGTGTGGCTTTAAACTCACAGAGATCCAAATGGATCTCTGCCTCCCAAGTGATAGGATGGGGCATATGTGCCACCATTCTCTGGCCTCTATGTCTATCTAGTGGCTGTTCTGTTCTCTGACCCCAGATAAGTTTATTAGGATGCACAATATTTTGTGCACAATTTATATCACCACACTATACTTTTCAAAATTTTTATTGCTTGGATTAATTATAGATTTAAAAATATTTAATTGATAGCCTTTCTATTTCTTTTCTAATTCATGTTCAGTTAGAGGAATTTACAATGTTAATTTTTATTACTCCATGTTATTCCTACAATGTCATTTTCTTATTTGCAGAAATACACTAACATTTGTTGTTTGGCTGGTTTTCTTAAATACGAGAAATTTGATCTAAAGCAGAGGTTCTCAACCTGTGGGCGCAACTCCTTTGGGATCGAACAATCCTTTCGCAAGAATTGCCTAAAACCGTCAGAAAACACAGCTATTTATATTACAATTCATAACACTAGCCAGTTATAGTTATGAAGTAGCAACAGAAATAATTCTATGATTGGGGGTCACCACAATGTGAGGAACCATATTAAAGGGTCGCGGCATCAGGAAGGTTGAAAGCCACTGCACTAAAAGAAAATACAAGTTGGAAAGCAAAGCCAATAAACACACAGGTATATGAACTGCATGCAGCCTTACTCCCATTGGTAATTCACAGTGGCACCAACAGAAAAGGCCATGCTTGCTTGACTCAATGTTAGTTCAAGATACAGATCCCAGAGACAGCACAGCAACATTCGCTTAGAACCGCTAACAGACAGAAAATGATTGCACCCTTGAGTGACCTCATGAGCACTGAGGTTGCTTTGATCCAATTGGGTGAAAAGAAAACCAAAACTGCAAGAAAAAGGAAATAAATTCAAGTAAATAAGCATAGAAAAGAGAGCCCTCCCACAACAGAAGAGCAGGAAACCCCACAAATACATGGGAAATAAGAAGGAAATGGAATGATAGCTTATGGGGCTGAATGCTACTGAAGATGGCGTCCCTTAAAGGGCTCTGTTCAGTGTCTGCTGAGTGGTTGCCATGGAAAGCCTCTGTGTTGGAAACCCTCTTTCCCCACCCTGCTGCTTGAAGCCTGAGAAAACACCCAGCCACAGGGGCAGGGGGTGGGGTTAAGGAGCGGGGTGTGTGTGTGTGTGTGTGTGTGTGTGTGTGTGTGTGACAGGTTAGGGCCACAGATCAGGTTTCCTCTACCCGGGAGACTAGTATCCTGGAGACACTCTCAGCCTGGTGTCCTTTCCTGTTGCTTTGTAGGCTGGCGTCAAGATTATGCTAATTAACTCCAAGTCCCAAGACTCTTGTTGCCTGGTGACAAAGTTGCACAGTGGAAGAGCGTCAGGACAAAAGGCAGGTAAGGCTTTGCTCCTTGGTGGCCCAGGCCTATTGAACTGCTTCAAACCTGCTTCCCCTCTCCTCCGAGTCAACAGCTCACAAATGTCTGCTCTCTGGCTGCCTCGTTTACAAAACCCAGACACCAGCTAATGCATTATTTAGGAGAGGAGGCCACACACCCTGAGTCCTGGCCAGGACAAACAGCTAGCTGGGGACACAGGCTGGTCTTCAGGTGCCTGGAGCCATGGGCAATCTTGGCAAGGGAGATGTATGACCACTGGGTACATGGGGGTCACAACTTGAATCTTTCTAAAAGCTGGGTCTCTCTGGACGTTTTTGCTGGCCCATAGCAGGGGGACATCAAATGCAGGTTCAGAAAGGCCAAGAGACTTGTACAAAGTCCCACACAGAGAGGGACAGAGCAGTGATTGGCCTCCAGACTAGAATGACACACTGTCCTCTGGGTTTGAGTGTCAGCCTCCAGAGTGGAAGGGAATTGTCGAGACATCTGCTGGGTCCTGCAAAGTCCTGGAGTGCCCAAGTTTGTCTGTTGGTGGCTTGGCAATGCTAGCTAGTGCTCGGTGTCACCAGCTTCTTTGTGGGTCTCCACGGGGTCCCTTGGGGCTAGGAGGGGGAGAACTTCCTCCACTGCCCCCTTTCTGTGGCAGAGTGATAGAAAAGTGAAAGCCAGGTGATCTTTCCAGGTTCCTTTCCCTGTGCCTACAGAACTCAAGGTGTGTAACTGCCACCACCCCTTGTCCTGACAGGCCGTCACCCACTGCAATAGCCACCTCAGATTATCACCAATTTGACCCACCACCAGCTGTGGATCAACATTTCCCAGCGCTCTCTCAGTCTCCGGTAATGAAACTTGTCTAATATCATGGCTGGGTCTGTGACCCACACATGCCTTCTTTTCAGACTGGGATGAGCCGCGTAGATAGGCCTTGGCCTGGACAGGACAAACATTCCCACAGGACCTAGCTCAGCTCCCTCCAGCTCCTAGATGGGGTAAGGCATCAGGAGCTTTCCTGTTGGCCCAGAAAGCCAAATGCATTGCAGGACACTGCAAAGTCAAACTTCCATGGACAAACCAAACGGTTTGTTCACAGAACACGGAAACAAGAGATGTTGGCTCTAAGTCGGTAGTGTGTAACCTGATACAGGACAGGCTGTCAAGCCCGGGGGGGGGGGGGGGTTCTTCTGGGAAGTGGGGTGTATGGATTAAATGAGATGAGGCTCGCAAAGCGTTCAGACATAACTTATACCCCATAAAAAGGGGAAGATGAATAGTAAATGCTAAGGCCTCTAAGGCTCCATCAACTGCTCGTACTACAGACAGCAAACGTCTGGGTACACATTGCCTCCCTCTGCCACTGCTCTGTTCCGTCTTCATGTGCCCCACTTTTCCCTTATCCTGCCTCCTCAGCAGCCAACTATTCCTAGCCAGACACATGCAGGCCTGCTCCTGAGCAGGCGGCCACCTCTCACCCGTACTAGGCATCTTTCATGCCACACGCCTTTATACCCTGAGATCGTTGCACCACCTTCACTACATGAAGAAACTGAGCCAAGGAAAGACCGTGAGTCACCCCCAAAGTCATAGGTTAGCACAAGTGGGTACCCATGACTGTAGACTTAGACCTTTCACCTCCATGTGTCAGGCCCTGCCCACACTCTCTTCTTCCTATCTCTTCATTCTCTTTTCTTCCAAGATGCTCTCACAGCTCCTTAACACCCCAGGCTTCTCCCAACTCTCAGGACGTCTGTCCTTGAGACACACCCCTCTTCCTGGACTGTTCTTCCTCCAGTCTTCCCATGTGATGTCTCCTAAGCATTTCAAGGAACAGTGCAAATGCCACCTTCCTAGAGAGGACTTCTCAGCCCCCTCTGAAATTAGTCATTCCCATTCACCAGTATCTGCGTCTTGACTCCAGCACCCTTTTATACAATTACTTCTATCTCTGTAGAGCATTTATACCACTAGAAATGGCTCTGGGCTTCTTGACTTGCTTCATCAGCAAGTGGGAAATTCGTGAAAACCACAGCACTGTCTGCCTTAGTTATTCACTGCCTGTCTCCTGACCTGACCTATAGTACAACCTCAATGAAAACCAGTGAGTGGATGGATGAACAAATGAATGAATGAGCAAATGATTAGCTTGTGCTATATAGAATTCTAGAGATTAAAGGCAGGTAGATACATCTATAAGTTACTTTGATATTCTTGTATTGCTGGTGATATTAACAGCATGTGTTTAAA